GATGTGACTGGATTAAACTCTGTTTTTCTCTTATAGATCAAGAAATGATACAGTTTTGCTCATAGTGTATTTTCCACCTTGTATGCATGTCAGAGATACTGGTATCATGACAGTAAACTTAGCAGCAAGGAGGAACCTTTTTTTCAGCTATTGCAGAGTTGCAGTGTGTTTAAGCTACCTCTTTTTAACAAACTACTGGAAGGATGTGTGTAGGGATTTTTGTTTGGAGCTCAGGATATCTTATTTTGACTTACTTGTTTTTCAAATATGTCATTCAGGATTAATTTTCTCTGTGGGCTGAATAGAAGTTGTAGGTCCTTGAGTGCAATAATTTGCTCTTGGCCACTGTGTTAGTCATTTAGTGCTGCTATAACAGAAATACTACAAGTGGATGGCTTTTAAAGAGAAGTTTATTCTCACAGTCAGTAGACTACAAGTCCAAATTCAGAGCATCAGCTCCAGGGGCAGACTTTCTTTTCTCTGTCGGCTCTGGAGGAAGGTACTTGTCATCAGTTTTCCCCGGTCGAAGAGCTTCTCAGCGCAGGGACCCTCGGTCCAAAGGACGCACTATGCTCCCAGTGCTTCTTTCTTGGTGGTATGAGGTCCCCCTGTCTCTCTGTTCGCTTCTCTCTTTTATATCTCAACAGAGATTGGCTAAAGACACAATCGAATCTTGTAGATTAAGTCCTGCCTCACTAACATAACTGCCACTAATCCCATCTCATCAACATCATAAACCAAACCGTTGCTGTCCAGTCGATTCTGACTCATAGCGACCCTGTAGACAGTGTAGAACTGCCCCATAGGGTTTCCAAGGAGCACCTGGTGGATTCGAACTGCAGACATTTTGGCTAGCAGCCATAGCTCTTAACCACTAGGCCACCAGGGTTTCCAATCAATCAACATCATAGAAATAGGATTTACAACACAGGAAAATCACATCAGATGACAAAATGTGGACAGTCACACAATACTGAGAATCATGGCCTAGCAAAATTGATACACATATTTTTGGAGGACACAGTTCAATCCATGACAGCTACTAACTGAAAAGTTGGAGGTTCTCATCCATCCGGTGGTGCTGTCGAAAAAAGGCCTGACAATTTGCTTCTGTAGGGTTACAGCCATTGAAAATCCTGTGGAGCACAGTTCTCTGAAGTACATGGGATCACCATGAAGCGGAGTTGACTTGATAGCAACAGTTTTTGTTTTTTTTTTAAATAGAATATAAATTTCAAAATTGCTTATGCAATTTTAAGATGTCTTTTTAAACAGCATATAATAAATGTGATTGATGACTGTTTTTCAGAAGGGAAATAAGAAGGGATGGATAGTAAGAAATGCCTTAAAGAAAATAGATTTAACTATTTTGTAAATTAAAAAATAGAAGTTGACAGTGCCTTCCTTCTGAATTGTCTTCATCAAAATTTGGACTTAAAGAAGCCTTGGCAGAAGACTCGTCAAAATTCATTAGCATGTGCTCTACCAACAGTGAGTTCCCGGTGTGGAGGTGGCACTGTGGCAAGTGTGAATTAATGTAGCCTTGAATTAGTGTGACAAAACTGACCTTTTAGAGCATCTGGTTAAGTTCAGTTCTAGTGAAAACTTACATAATGTTGGAAAATTCACAGTACTCTTAAAGGAAATTGTATCCATAAAGATAGGTGTGAATATTGTGAGTCCAGTTTTACAGAGGCACAAATTAAAAACTGGGGATTGCTGAGTTAGAATTCAGTTATTCTGGCCCCAAATTATACTCTTCCTCCTGAGTTGCTGTGGTGCAGGAAGCGAGCTACCAGGTAATTGTTGTTATTGTTGATGATGTTGAGTTAATTCAGACTCATGGCGACCCCATGGGTGCAGAACTGCTCCATAGGGTTTTTTTTTTTTAAATAATATTTTATTGTCTTTTAGGTGAAAGTTTACACAGCAAATTAGGTTCCCATTTAATAATTTTTATATAAATTGTTCTGTGACATTGTTCGCAATTTTCACAATGTGTCAGCATTCTCATTATTTCCATTCTGTTTGTCCCATTCATCTAGCTTCCCTTCCTCTCCTTGCCTTCTCATCTTTGCTTTTGGGTAAATGTTGACCGTTTGGTCTCATATAGTTGATTGTTTAATGGAACACATTACTCACACGGGTGATCCTGTTTATTTTATAAGCCAATCTATGATTTGGCTGAAAGATGACCTCCAGGAATAGCTTCAGTTCCAAGTTCAAAGGTTATCTTAGGGTGATAGTCTCTGAGGTTCCTCTACTGTCAGTCCAGTAGGTCTGGCCTTTTTTAGGAATTTGAATTTTGTTCTACCTTTTTCTCCCATTCTGTCCGGGACCTTCTACTATATCCCTGGTCAGAACAGTTCAGAGTGTCAGCAGGGCAACATCTAGTTTTTTTTTTTAAATGTGGTTTACATGAAAGTTTACGGAGCAAATTAGTTTCTCATTCAACAGTTTATACACAGATTTCTTTGTGACATTGGTGCAATACCCGCAATGTGTCAGCACTCTCCCCTTCCCCACCCTGGGTTCCTTGTTTCTATCCGTCCATTTTTCCTGTCCCTTCCTGCCTTCTTGTCATTGCTTTTGGGCAGGTGTTGCCTGTTTGGTCTTGTATACATGATTGAACTAAGAAGCACGCTCCTCATGTGTGTTGTTGTTTGTTTTATAGGCCTGTCTTATCTTTGGCTGAAGGGTGAACTTTGGGAGTGGCTTCAGTTCTGAGTTAAAAGGGTGTCTGTCAGGCTGTAGTCTCGGGATTTGCTCCAGTCTCTGTCAGACCAGTAAGTCAGGTCTTTTTTTTGTGAATTTGAATTTTATTATACATTTTTCTCCCTCTCTGTGCAGGACCATCTGTTGTAATCCCTGTCAGAGCAATTGGTGGTGGTAGCTGGGCACCATTTAGTTCATCTGAGCTCAGGCTGGTGGAGGCTGTGGGACTTGTGGTTCATTAGTCCTTTGTACTAATATTTTCTCTTGTGTCTTTGGTTTTCTTCATTCTCCTTGGCTCTGGACAGGATGGGACCAGTAGATGTACCTTAGATGGCCACTCATAAGCTTTTAAGACCCCAGATGCTATTCACCAAAGTTGAATGTAGAACATTTTCTTTATGAACTATGTTATGCCAGTTGACTAGGTGACCCCTGCAACCATGGTCCCTGTCCCTCACCCCTGTAACTCAGTCTCTCTGGATGATTGTGTGTGTCTATGAAGCTTTTATGACTTTGCCTTGGTCAAGTTGTGCTGACATCCCCTATATTGTGAACTGTCTTTCCCTTCACCAAAGTTAAGATTTATCCACTTTCTAGTTAGTGATTTCTCCTCCCGAACCATCCCCTCCCTCATAACCATCAAAGATCATTTCTTTCTGTGTGTAAACTTTTTCTTGCGTTTTTGTAATAGTGGTCTCATACAGTATTTGTCCTTTTGTGATTGACTTACTTCACTCAGCATAATGCCCTCCAGATTCATCCATGTTGTGAGATGTTTCAGATTCATCATTGTTCTTTATCATTGCATAGTATTTCATTGTGTATACGTACCATAATTTGTTTATCCATTTATCTGTTGATGGACATTTAGGTTGTTTCCATCTTTTTGCTGTTATGAATAATGCAGTGAACATAGGTGTGCATATGTCTATTCATGTGACGGCTTATTTCTCTAGGATATATTCCTAGGAGGGGGATTGGCTGAATCATACGGTATTTCTGTTTCTAGCTTTTTAAGGAAGCGCCATATCGTTTTGCATATTAGTTGTACCGTTTTACGTTCTCACCAGCAGTGCATAAGAGTTCCAGTCTCCCCACAGCCTCTCCAACATTTATTTTCTGTTTTTCGTTTTAGTGCCAGTAATGTCGAGGTGAGATGGTATCTCAGTGTAGTTTTGATTTGCATTTCTCTAGTAGCTGATGATCGTGAACATTTCCTCATGTGTCTGTTAGCCGCCTGGATGTCTTCTTTGGTGAAGTGTCTGTTCGTATCCTTTGCCCATTATCTTATCAATTATAGCAGTTAGACCCTTGTTGGATATGTCATAGCCAAATATTTTTTCCTAATCTGTAGCGTCTCTTTTTACTCTTTGGTGAAGCCTTTTGATGAGCATAAGTGTTAAACTTTTAGGCGCTCCTGGTTATCTAGTTTATCTTCTGGTGTTTGTGTACTGTTAGTTATGGTTTGTATTGAATTTATGCCATTTATTAGGGCCCCTAGCATTGTCCTTATTTTTTCTTCCATGATCTTTATCATTTTAGGGTTTATATTTAGGTCTTTGATCCATTTTGAAATTTGTTTTTGTGCATGGTATGAGGTCTGAGTACCATCTAGTTCTCCTGGTCTCAGATTAGAAGAGGCTGTGGTTCGTGTGGGTTATTAGTCCTGTGGACCAGTTTCTTCTTTGAGCCTTTGATTTCCTTCATTCTCTCTTGCTCCATATGAGTAGAGACCAATACTTGTATCCTAGATGGCCTCCTGCAAGCTTTTAAAACCCCAGATACTACTCACCAAACTAGGATATAGAACATTATCTTTATGAACTACGTTATGCCAGTTGACTAAGTTGTCCCCCAAGACTATGGTCCTGTGTCTTTTAACCCAATAAACCAATCCTGCAAGTTGTTTGGATATGTCTAGGAAGCCTCTGTAACTGTGCCCCCGTGTGCTTTGTTATATATATGGATATATATGCAGCACACACAAACATGTGTATACTTACGTCTACAGATACATCTATACATGCACATGCATTTATTCACATATGCCTTCTTATACACATATATGCATACGTATCTACCTAGGTAACCACACACATCTTTTTTGGTTGTTACTGTTGTTGCTCCCTAGAGTTTTCAATGCCGTGACCTTGCAGAAGCAGATCACCAGGCCTGCCGCCCGAGGTGCCTGTGGATGGATTCGAACTGCTATTTGCACCATCCAGGAACTCCACCAGGGTAATAGCAGATACTTATTTAGTCCATGTACATGTTTCTGTCTCTAGATTTCACCAGAAGTTTAACTATAACTACTGCTGACCAGATGATTGAAAAAGCCAAGGGGGAAACTGCCTATTTGCCATGCAAATTCACCCTTAGTCCAGAAGACCAGGGACCACTGGACATCGAGTGGCTGCTGTCACCAGCTGATAATCAGAAGGTGGATCAAGTGGTAAGTTGGATAAGGGCTTGCTCACTCAGCAGATGTTTGTGGAGCTTGTGTTATGTGTGCATTGTTGTGCTGATTGCCTGGGTGGGCATGGGGACCTGGGAAGAAAGCCCCAGACTTTTCGGATTTTTAGTCTGGGTGAGGAAGATGTTCACTCTGGTGGAGTGTGAGGTATATGTAACGGAGTGAGATGGATAATAAGTGACCTGAGATTTCAGAGGAAGAAGAGGTCACTGGACTTCAAGGAGGAAGAGAAACTTGTGAGTTACGCCTCTGAAAATCTGGATTTGGAATATATTTGACGCCGACAGTGGAGGGGCCGGGATAATATGGAGTAGACACAATAGTGTGGCAGGAATGTGCATACTGTGTTAGGAGACCATGAGTAATCTGCACTTTGTTAAAAGTTAGAAGTGAATTTTTAAGTTTTACACAAAGATTCTGTCACTGTTAGAAACTAACACGCAGTAACAAAGTTAGGTATTATTACAGAGCCTGACTGCCTTATTGTTTCGAGTTAGAAATCCTGTACAATGAATTTCTTAAAACAAAGTCTTTATAGCATAGAAACAACCTATAAAAATTTCATTTTAAATTTAAAAAACTAAGTATCAAAGCATTGTTATAGAACTTTTCTCTAATTGCAAAATAATTAGTCTACTGTAGAAAAGTTGGAAAATAAAAAAATAGCACAAAGGAGGGAAATTGCCCAATAATCTCACCTTCAACTATCTGTATCACACTTTTCCTTTTAATGGTTTCAGAATATTTCATTTGATTTTGAATGTTGCATATTCGTCTGATACAGTTAATTTTTAAAAGTTAATTATGTAGCGCACAGGGAAAGAAAATACTTAGGGAAATATGGTAATATATGTATTTATTTGGGGGAGAATTTTATTTTTACTTATGGTTCATATAAAAGTAAAAAAAAAAAAAAAAAAAAAAAACCATTGCCATTGAGTCCATTTGGAGATCCAGAAACTTAAAGGACTATGCCTTCCATCACACAGCTGGCAACTAATGCCTTTGAGGGTTTGAGCCCAGCTCTCTGACTCCCACACCTATGTATCTGTTATCCTTTGCACTATCCTGTAGTGTCTCTCATGTTTGTTTGCCAAGTCTCCGTTTTCTCATGTGTGAAATAGGAGCAAATATACCTACCTCACCGGTTAAGAGAATTCGGTGAAACCCTGTTTGCACAGCATTTTGTAAGCTTAAAAGTGAATAGAAATGTTAGTTAAGAATGTTAGCACAGTACACTGTGCCATGTCGGATGGATGGTGGTTTACATCTTAACTGTGTAGCTTTGCCAAAGTTGCTGTGTGAAAGCCACAGCTTTCCCATCCTAAATGTTCAACGTGGACAGTGCCCATCCTTGTAAGACTGTCCAGAGGAATAAATGAAGACGTGTACAATTGCCTGGTAAATGTTAATTCCTAATCTTTTGTTTAATTGTGCTTTAGGTGAAAGTTTACAGTGCAGATTAGTCTCTAATTCAAAAATGTACGCACAAATTGTTCTGCAACATTGTTTGCAACCTTCACATTGTGTCAGCACTGTCCCCGTTTCCCATGTCCCCCGAGTTCCCCATGTCCATTCGTCCCATTTTCCTGTCTTCTTGTCTTTGCTTTTGGGCAGTTGTAGTTCCTGATTTCTTAACCTACTGTTCATAACGTTGTTTTCTTGGGAAATTACTATAATGGTTTACAAAATAATCAACAGTGTGAACACATGTTTGTCAGGTCCTCCTTAAAAGCTTACTGTGTGTGTGCCTAGCAAACATAAACCAAAAAACCAAATCCATTGCCGTCGAGTCAAACACAAGGAATGGAAAATACAGTAGATAAAACCTAATGGCTTTTCACAACAGCAGTTCAATAGTTAGATACAGAGCAAGATATAGTAACCTCATCTAAGAGTTCTTAGTGTTGCTGTTGACAAGTGCGTGTGCAAGGAAGGTGGAGCAATAAAGTAATGGCTTGTGTTTGCAGAGTATATCAGCTGTGGGTCCTTCAGCTACTCTTTTATTCCCTTGGCAAACTGGTATTGAGTGCATCCTAGTTGCAAACACTTAATAGATAAATAAGAGATCTTTACTGGATTGGGGGGGGTCAGCCTGGTAGGGGAGGTGGTAATGCAGAAAAGAACTCAAGTTTCTGTCTTCAAGAAATATTTATAGACTAAACCTTGGGAAAAGCTGTTCTTGGGTGACATTTAATCTGATTTTACTGCCCATAATTAGCATCTCAGATAAAAAGTTGTTTGAAGATATAGGCATGTTTCCTGATGATTGAGTTTGGTACCACTCTTCTTTGGCCTTTGGGTCTCATAGCAACCAGAATAAAAGATTTCATTAGCAAATGTGCAGAATTATAAAATGTGCTAAATTAATTTTATTGATGGTTAGAGATGACTATTACAATTTTCTTCCAGGTCAGTTTTTTTTTTTTAAATAATTTATTGTGTTTTCAGTGAGGGTTTAGACACAGCATTTTAGGTTCCCATTCAACAATTACTGCACAAGTTATTGAGTGACACTGGTTACATTCATCACAATGCATGAACATTTTCATTATTTTCGTTCTTGTTCCATTTCCATCCAAGTCAATTTTAACACACATTTTATTTCCCCTCTAATTCTAGCCTTCACATATTTCCATCAAAGCCCATAATAGTGGCCTAGAAAACTCAGTGGAATCTTTGTTGTTAGTTACAGAAGAGTCTTTGGAAGATCGTGTTAATCTGAGAATACATATCTTAAGAGGTTTTTTCATTTGTTAGCTTGTTTATGATTTTTATCTATTACAGTTTAGAACCCTCAGCTGCTCCAGTTTAGTACGAAGACAAAAACGGTGGTGTCTTTTTTTTTTCTTTGATTCCACAGGTAAATTACCAGAAGACTTTGGGGATAGGGTTATACTTGATGTTATAGGCTTAATTTGCATACTACAGCCTGTAAGGCAGTTGGAAATTAGAAAACCAGTTGCCCTCAAGTGAATTCCGACTCATGGCAACCCCATGTGTGTCAGAGTAGAACTGTGCTCCATAAGATTTTCAATGACTGATTTTTTGGAAGTAGATCACTAGGCCTTTCTTCTGAGACAACTTTAGGTAGACTGGAACCTGCAACCTTTTGGTTAGCAGCCAAGTGCCTTAACTGTTACCACCACCCAGGGACTCCAGGAAAACAGAGTGTATAGAAATTACCAGACCTGTGTTACTCAATAACTGTCTTATATAGGGCTGTATTATTTAATCATGTTGGGTCTTGGTTTCCCAATTAAAATGGGAGTGTTAGACCAGACTGAAGGATCACATTGATCCCTTTCTATTTTTTCATTCTGTAAGGGATAATTGTAGGTTTTTCAGAAATGTGTTTTCTTATTCTGTTTTTTTCTTTATCCCACAATAGTGTGATGTATTTGACATTCCTTTAATGAGACAGATTTTTTTATTTGGTTGGTTGGTTGGTAAGCTTTCTCTTATTTTGGTTTTCTTTTAGATTATTTTATATTCTGGAGACAAAATTTATGATGACTACTATCCAGATCTGAAAGGACGAGTACATTTTACAAGTAATGATCTCAAATCTGGTGATGCATCAATAAATGTAACAAATTTGCAGTTATCAGATATTGGCACATATCAGTGCAAAGTGAAAAAAGCTCCTGGTGTTGGAAATAAGAAGATTCAGCTGACAGTTCTTGGTAAGTTATTTGTATTAATATTACTTATTAATGGAATGAGTATTAACGGTATTATAGTAGCAGCATTTCTGTAAGACAAGCTTTGTTTATCAGAGTAGTAATTTTAAACATTTAAAGTACCTCTAATGTCCTCAAACAGTATAAAACAGAAAAATAACATACTTTTTTGGATATAAAACGTAAGAGTGACCAACTTCTTTGTCAAATTCGTAAGAGTTTGAAAGTAAGTGGAAGAGTATTATGATATGGGGGAAGAATCTTAGAGTAGGAGATACAAGTTTTTTACTTTGTTTTGTCCTCAGAATTAGCTGGAACATCTTCATTTCCCTGGGCCTCAGCCTATCTCTTTGAAAAATAAGATTTAGTATTTGTTAAATTTCCCCGTGAGATCTCGTTCAGTTCAAAATTGTTGTGTGCTTTAAGCTTTTACCCTCATTACCCCCAAATAAATGAGGTTTCTATTGTGAATAATTGGAGTATTCAGGAGATGGAAATGGTAGAAGGCATATTGAACTGGAGTATGGCCATTGGACATCAGAGAAAATCATATAACCTCCCTGAACATCACTGTTTTTTATCCTTAAAATGAGAGGATTAGATAGATGATCACCAGGGTGTCTTGTAGCTCTGTATATGATAGTTAAGAAGGAGATGAGTATAAACTGCTTTGTAAACTGTCAAAGATTGGAACGTTCCTTATCCTTCTCTAATTTCCGTGGTAATCTGCACAGGCAGTCTTAACTTCTTCAATCTGAGACACTCTCAAATGTTATAATTCATAAATATACTTCTAAAACCTTATCTTGGTAGACTTTACACAAAATATACAAGGGCTACCATGTAGAAAAACATAACTGTCCAGCTGTCTATTCTATGACAGTAAATATCCCTGTTCTTGACCTAAAGTCTCCTGTTTTTGGAAGGGACTCAGGGACCTACTTTATATAGGAAATGCTAATTGCTAGAATTGCCTAGCATATCCTGGAAATAACTAATCAAGGCAGGTCTCCCCACATCAGCTGTTACCTCATTCCTTTTGTTGTAGGTAACTGATTAGGAGTGGAGTAGAAAAGTAGTTAAATGTGTTGGGTTCCAGAGTCATTTAGAATATCATTGTTTTATAAAGAGTGAATATCAGAGAAGATGCAGACTAGGAGCATTGCTGATTTTTGTGCTCCCCTTTGACAACTTCTGGGGCTTCCTTGGTTGGTGAGGCAGTTTTCTGATTACTGGCAGCATCAATGGGTAGGCACAAAAGGAGGACAAGGTACCCCATCCTACATGGCACTGAATCAGAATGTTTCCTATGGTATGAAAGTAAGTGAACCTGGACAAGGAACCAGGAAAAGGAATATGATGACACTGGTAAGCCTGGCTTGCTGTGTCTACAGTGAGTAAACGTGGAGTAACCTTTCTTTTCATAAGTGTATGTTATTGTTAGGTGCCATGGAGTTGCTTCCAACTCATAGTGATCCTGTGTATAACAGAATGAAACACTGCCCAGTCCTGCATCATCCTCACAATTGTTGTTATGCTTGAGCCCATTGTTACAGCTGTTGTGTCCGTCTGTCTCATTGAGGGTCTTCCTCTTTTTTGCTGACCCTCTACCAAGCATGATGTCCTTCTCCAGGGATTGGTCCCTCTTGATGATGATGATGTTGTTAGGCACTATCGAGTCGTTTCTGAATCACAATGACCCCATGTACAACGGAGTGAAATACTGCCTGGTCCTGCACCCGTCTCATAATCATTGCATGCATAAGAGGTGATTGACAGGCACTCCTTAGTCCTCACAGTGACATCTTTGCTTTTTATTAACACTTTAAAGAGGTCTTTTGCAGCAGATTTGCCCAATGCAATGTGTAGTTTGATTTCTTGACTGCTACTGGAATGCAGTAAGTGCATAAAACAGGTAAAAGTTTAACAGCTGGTCTGAACTCATCCCAGACCCAGGGATACCTGGGACTATGATCTTGAATGCCCCTTCTTTCAACACTGTTCTCCAAGAAGTATTAAGATATATACGGAATTTCAGCTGGTTCATGATGTACCAAGCAGATTATACCTGGTCATAAGAATTATCGTGAAACCTCTGTTCCATGGGGCATTTGCACTGGAAGGAATGTGATTGGCATGTATTCCCAGAAGAACTGTGGACAAGCACAGTTTGTGTGTATGTGTGTGTATATCGCTGGATCCCAAAGGACCAGGTTCTGGGTTAAATTTGCAGGTCCTGATTGAAGGGATCACTGCAGCAGAGGACAGTGTAACTCTGCCTTTAAGTATTACAGCACATAATCCCAGAAGGAGGCATGTTTGCATACTGATTGCGTGTAATACGGCCACGTGTGCGCTCATGGCAGCAGCCGTGATTGCCCAGCAGGTGGAAAGCCCTGTCTAATTAAACCTCACAAACCAATGTCTGATTCCTTGGAACCGATAAGCTTTGTTAATGTTGACTCCTTTTGTTGAATCTACGGGAGATTACCATGGCCAGGCAAGCTGTGAATTAAACCCAAAGAGAGGAGAAAGGGTTAAATTGAGATAAGAGGAGAAAGGGTTAAATTGAGATAAGAGGAGAAAGGGTGAAATTGAAACAAGAGAAGGGGTTAAATTGAGATAAGAGGAGAAAGGGTTAAATTGCGATAAGAGGAAAGAGGAAGAAGGCCTTGCTGAAGAGAAAGGAGCCCAGAAATATTTGTTGTTAGCTGCCCCTGCCATTGAGAAATAAAAAACCAAATCAGTTGCCATTGCATGAATTCCATCTGTGTCAAAATAGTAGAGTTGTGCCCCATAGAGTTTTCAATGGCCGTGACCTTTTGGAAGTAGATCGCCAGGGCTTTCTTCTCAGGTACCTCTGGGCGGATTCGAACCACCAGCCTTTCAGTTAGTAGCTGAGCACGTAACCGTTTCCACTGCCCAGGGACTCTTCCCCCTGACTATAATGGGTGAGACTAATACTCTGATCCCTCGAGGCTGCCTCAGAGCCAGGGAAGAACCTCTCTAGCTTGCTCTTCCATCTTTTCAGAGGAGTCCTGGCCACTCCTGGTAAAAGCCACTTTTGTTTTCTCTTGGCAGTGAAAATCCAGCTCAAGCTTATCTATTGGCATTGCCTGAGAATCCTGCCTGGATAATCTGGAGGAAAGATAAGATGAAATGCCCTCTCTAGTGGTCTGTCTGAATGGTAGTTCATTGGAGTTTTCACTGGATTCACTGTTAGTTGCTCTGCCGAATACTTTGATTCTTTTGTGGAAGATCTGAGGGAGATGTTACCATGGTATCCATAGGGTAATGGTAGTTTACCACTGAGCCCCTGTGATCTGCATAGCCATGAACCCAGTGTGTCTCTCAGCAGTTGTATGGCTGTGTTGCTAAACCTCCCCATAGGCCAGAGCCTGCTCTGCTCTTGTAGATACACCAAAGGGCACGAGGATACTGCTCAGTAAAGTTAAAAGGGGCGATGATAACAAAAGGAACTGATTGAGGGTTAATATGGTGGCCACATATCACCAGCTCTGTTCCCCTAGTATTAAGACCTTTTGCTATAAACAGACTGACTTGTTCTGGAGAGCAGAGCATGCACAGTTAAAATGGTTTCCTGGACATACATAGTGCACTCAAACTGCATCCATGCTACCAGAACACAGTGGCAACAAAAGCGTGTGTGGTGACTCAGTTAGCACAACCACTGGAGGTCCTCACGCATCTGCAAACCATTGGTATGGGCCAGGACATTTTTAGATTTATTTAAAAGTTGCAAAAATAGCAGCGCGTTCCTGTATACTCATCATCCATTTTCACAGTACAGTTATCAAAATCAAGAAATTAACATTGGTGCATTGGTGTTTTGTTCTGTTGTACATAGGGTTGCTAGGAGTCAGAACTGACTCAGCAGCACCTAACAAGAACAACAGTGCTATTAACTGAAATACAGACCTAATTTGAATTTCATGGTTTTCCACATTACATGTATGTCTCCTTAGTCTCCTTCAGTTATGTCAAGGGGTATGGGATTCAACATATCTTACTGTTACTCATGATTGCTTGGTTTAAGTTTTATCGACTGGGCTTCTCCACCATAAAGTTAGTATTTTTCCCTCAGTAATTAAAAAATATCTTGGGGGGAGATAGTTTGAGACTTTGAAAATATCCTGTTTTTCCTCAAACTTTTGCCTACCGAATTTAGCATCTATTGATGGATCTTGCCTGGAGTTGGGATATTTTGAACCATGCAGAAATGGCATTCTTGGAAGGATGACATCATGATAAAAGTACATCCTGTCCTGTATAGGGGTTTAGAGTGCTTTTCCTATAGACTGATTAGGCCACTAGCATGGAAGGATGATGATACAATATATGTATGGAGCACAGCATTACTAAATTGGTGCAGGTGTAACTGGACAGTCATGTACCCTTACCTGGGAGAGACTGTTGGCTCTGCTAGTGCTCATGGAGTTCAGTTTTCTGAGGATAATGGCCAGCTCTCCTGAAAGCCCAGGCCAAAGAAACATTTAGGGGACAAGGCTTTGTTTTTCCTTTGTGATTTTATCTTTCTTCCTCTTCCGTTCTAACAAGACTACCATGGATTAAGAGTCGCTCTTCCTAGTGATGGAATCGTTGGGGTTGGGGATTTAAAAGAGTTGTATGTTCTCTTCCCCATGGAAAGCATGTGGGCCACTCCAGAGTGACAGTTGGAAACCAGTGGTGATAAAATGTTCTGTTGTGGCTGCGATATGTTGCGATCCCAGACCCAGTGTGGCCCTGGGGTTTCTGAACAGTGGCTTTTAGTAACTGCCATGTTGGATGCGCTTGGCATATGGGAAAGGGAAATTTTAGGGTTAGAATACGATATTACCAATAGATGTGTGATGTACAAGCCTTGCTTTCATATCTCCTTTACTGCTAGCATGTAAAAGGATTTGTTGGTAGTTTGAAGAAATGGAGGCAAACTAGGCTTATTTCAGTGAAAACTTACAGGATGAAATAATTCGTGAAATTGGTATAAAAGTCCAATTGATGTAACCCACATGGCAACTGATCAGTCTGAAAAAAAACACACAAGCAAATTTGATTAGAAAACTCTGCATTGTTGGTCCTTATTAAAAAGTAGAAGTAGCAGCAGATGAAGGGGAGAAGTACAGTCAAACTTAGCTGAAGATATCCCACTGGATAGGACAAATACTGTTGGCTAACTTTGGAAAACAGTTCAGCAGGCTTTTGGTGTATACAGTAACCATATAACCCAGCAATTACCAAAAGAGAGGAAAAGATAGGCCTGTGTGTTCATGGATGACCAAGCAGTGTTGTTCCCAATAGCACAAAACTGTAAATACACCTTCATATTTGTTTATTCATATAGTGAAAGAATAAAAACCCATACAACACTGAAAAGGTGAAAATCAGCTCAAATTAAAAAAGGAAAAGCAGTCCTGATATTTATAACACTTGGAAGACAGAGGCAGATAAAGCCAGCTGCAGAGTTTATAAGAAACACAGTTTCTTCCAAGGTTGTAGAAAAAAACCAAAACCGAACCCATTGCTGTCGAGTTGATTCTGACTCATAGTGACCCTATAGCACAGAGTACAACTGCCCCATAGGGTTTCTAAGGAGCAGATGGTGGATTAGAACCGCTGACCTTTTGGTTAGCAGCAGAGCTCTTAACCGCTGTGCCACCAGGGCTCCTGAAGTTGTAGAGCAGTTGTAAAATACAGATCACTCCTGTCTTCCCAATGTCATCCCAAGACCCATTTAGCTCTACTCATCCTTTACTGGGCATACTCAATTGCTAAACTGCCCTCACCTCCTTATAGAACCCAGTCCCTATTTAATGCCCACTTCTGCCGATCCCACCCCAGAAACAGCATCTGATTCAGAACTGATCCCCACTTTCCTTAGACTCTCTTCAGAATCCTTCAGAATCCCTCCTCTCTTGTTCAGTGGCATCCCATGCTTCCTCTAGAGTGCCTTCCTGAGTCGTCATTCGGATTTTTACAGATTACAAGCTTACTCATGGTGGGTTTGGCTGATCAGGCTTTAAGAGTAGCCCAGAAACTAGAAACAGCGTTCATCAGTAGGTGGATAAGCAGACTTGTGTCATCGAGTCTAGAAGAAGCAGAACTAATCTACAGGAATAGAAATCTAATCCATGGCTGACTGGCTGGAGTTGGGGAGGGAGATGGACTGCAACAGGCATGAGGAAACTTTCTTGAAAGGTGATTGGGGTAGTGCTTGTCAAAAATGATCATCCCACAGATTAAGATAACTAATTTTATTGTATGTATATTGTGCCTTAATGAAGTTGAGAAGAGTGTGAGATGACAGGGTGTTAATCCAGGGTTGAGATTGGGTGAATTGCAGGGAGTAGGGTTAGCAGCTGCTTTAAACTTTTTTACCCAGGAAGACCTGAAACATAACCTCAAATTCACCTTTTTATAACATTGCTTTCTGGAAGGTATAGAGTTAATGTAATTGTGGAATGTTAATTGATCCTTGTTGCACTAAGCAGATTGTCCCTGTTACTAGAATTATGTGTTGTAAACCCTCTGATTGACGGGTAGCAGCACCCAGAGGGATGTGACTTGGCACATACTCCCAGAGGGCTACATATCAAGCGCGGAGTCAAAGAATAGGTAAGGAATGGAGAGGAAAGCCTCCTTGAGTCTTAACTGGTCCAGCCCACATCATCCTTGCTTTTTTGAAGTGTGCCCTGTGGGATGGAGGGGCACAGAGCCGCGCCTGTTACATCGCCAGACCTCCTGATGCAATTGCTGCTTGCCTGAGCTCCTTGCCTGTTTTTTGTTGGTTAAAGCTGAGTAGACTGGTGTTAAGAACCTATTGTGGCTTTTCAGTCTTTTTGTTAATTCTGAATGCAGAATCAGTGAGTCGGTGTCTGTGCGGCATGCTGTGTGTTTAAATATTCATTATGAAAATGAACTCCATTCTCTTGTATAATAAAGTTTTGTTTTTTTTCTTTTCCCAGTTAAGCCTTCGGGTACAAAATGTTACGTAGATGGATCAGAAGAAATCGGAAATGACTTTAAACTAAAATGTGAGCCACAAGAAGGTTCACTTCCATTACGATATGAATGGCAAAAATTGTCTGACTCTCAGAAGATGCCTACTGCATGGTTAGCAGGTACTGCTGATTATACGATTTGTAAGATATGCTGTTGGTTTGAACTTAAACCCAGTGGGGTTTGTGTGTGTGTGTGTGTGTGTGTGTGTGTGTTTTTAATTACTGAATGCCTTCCCTTTTCTACACAGAACAGTCAAGGTTCTGTGGAAATTGATTCAGTGTTCTCTAATGACATCTCAGTGTCATACAGTATGAATTAATAAATAATATTTCTATAATGATTTCACCTTTTAGTATATTTAGTAACTGTGTGATAGTTTTTTTTTTTTTAATTGATACTGATGGGAAATGTTCATATCATAAATTTGACGGTGGCTAAATTATAACAAGAACTGGATCTTGACTGTTTTGCCTTGTTAATAATTCATGTTGGAGATATAATAATTTACCCATGGTGTGTTAATTGACCTGGTAGTTCAAACCAATTACCAATTTAAAGGAATGCAACACTTGAACATGGTCTACCCTCCTTCCATCCTCCCCACCCTGGTCTTAAGGAGGATTTCTCTTGGCTTCTGTTTCTTTTTTCAAACCAAGAGGCCAAACTAGATAATCTAAGATCCCTTCTGACTTTCTCTTGTATGTTTCTTCCATACGGTAAGTGTTTGCAGATCTTTCTGTTGCACCAAGAACCCTTATGGCATGGGGCACTTCATATAAATCAGATGTGACACAGAGTGGGTTTATGTGTAGGATCAGCCCCTCTGCTTCAGCTGAGCATCTCTGCCTGGCTAAAGGAATCGTGCTTTCTTCTGCCTTACAAGTAAACTGGAGGCACGATTGCTTGATTCTGGAGACATGCATGTGGCTTACTGGACAGTTTGTTTGTGCAGCCCAGTTTTAGTCTGTTGTGCTTTTAACTGGACTGATAAACTTAGTAAGGTTTACCTTTACTAAAATCTCAGAGCTGAGATCTGAAATAGTACAGACAGTCCCCAGGTTATGAACAAGATACTTTTCTAAGCCTGTCTTTAAATCGAATTAGTAGGTAAGTTGAAACAGGTACATATGGTTGTTATTTAGCATCAGTTAGTCAGATGTTTGTCTTAGTATATTTGTCTTAGAACTGCCCCCCATAGGGTTTCCAGGAGTGGCTGGTGTATTCGAACTGCTGACCTTTTGGTTAGCGGCCTTAACGCTTAACCAGCGTGCCATCAGGGCCCCATATGCATATAAAACACTTAAGAAACACTTCCAGACCACGCAGTGTTTTCACGAGTGTCACAAAGTAGTGTGCGCATTATTAGGAAACCTTGTATTTAACTTGAATTTTTAATATAATAGGCTTTATGTCAGTCAGTTCTTAAGTATGAGTTGTCTGTAAGTTGGACGTTCGTAACCCAGGGGCTGCCTGTACTGTAAAAATGAATGTTCTTTTTCTCCCCCTTCCTCACCATAGAAATGACTTCATCTGTTATATCTGTAAAAAATGCCTCTACTGAGTATTCTGGGACATACAGTTGTACAGTCCAAAACAGAGTGGGCACTGACCAGTGCCAGCTGCGCCTGGCCGTTGTGCCTCGTGAGTATCTTCCTGTCTGCGTGATAACATTCTCGGTGTTTCTGTTATCTGTATAGAGCTCTTTGATTCAGTCAGCAAGTGTGCTAATTTGTGCTAAGCATTTTGTAGCTTGGTTATTAGCTTTCCTAACTTATGAAAGGAGAAAATACTCTGTTTTATTAATAAAATCTTCATTACTGTAGTGATATTAAGAAGATAAAAGTTGTCAAATCAACTCTCATGTACCATACTTAACCATTATAAATACGAGCAGCTTAGAACCTTCTTATATGCTAACCAAGATAGTTTTGAGTATTAAAAATGTTTAGCCTTGTTTTATCATTTCTATGCTTTATGTAAATTACACATTTCAGAGGAAAGTTCTTTTAATGAATTTTCCCCCTAGATCGTAAAAGGCTAAATAATTTATCTTTTCTTAAAGTTAATAGTTGCAATGAAATGACCTATCAAGGTGTATCCTGCCTTCAATATGAATAGATATAGTTTTCTTTTAACTATTAATTGTATTTTTATTAACCTCTTATTCTAGCTTCAAATAGAGCTGCAACAATTGCAGGAGCTATTATAGGAACTTTGCTTGCTCTAGTGCTCATTGGTCTAATTATCTTTTGCTGCCATAAAAAGCGCAGAGAAGAAAAATATGAAAAGGAAGTTCATCATGATATCAGGTAATTAAATGAAAAAGGGGTTGACTAATGTATACCAAATATATGATGTCTCTAAAGCATTGGTTCTCTTAACCTTCCAAAGAAAATACCCTATGAGAATTGATTAAAAGCTGCAGCTCCTCTACTCAGCCCATTTGGAAACTTTTTTTTTTCAGTTTCATATTTGTAGATCAACCACCCTTCGTGGTGCCCTGCTGTCCCAATTTTCTTGGACTCCACTTTATGAACCACTGCAGAATGATTGTCTTAAGACTGCCATCTCCCAATAAAATAACAAGCATGACGTTTTCAAAAAAATGGGCAGATGTTGAGGTTTTAAAAGAAGGCCTGAATGTATCATTATGGGTAGTTCATAAAACCATTGGTAGTGTGAGTGTATTTTCTCAAATGTTCTAAACCAGCATATCTTAACTAGAAGTACACACTGGATTTCAGAACTTTTAGCAATCATAATATGACTAAAGAACACCCTGGAAATTGACATTTGGTAGGTCTGGGGTGTCTGGGCACTTCTGTTGTTAAAATGACCAGAGTTAACTGAGATATATATTTGTAAATGTTCGGTGTAAAAATTATGCCTAAATTCCCAATTTTTTGCAAGCTAAATCTGTAAGGATTTCCATTAAAGTGTTAAATAACTAACTTTCATAGCAAAAAGGATTTTTTTTTTCTTTTTGTTGAATTATATCCAGGTATTAGTGCTTTATCACCTATAAAGTATTACATGACTATAACTAGTTTATTTTGATCAGTGGTACTAGAATCTGAAAATATTGAGCTTTGTTCCATGTAAGACAACATAGAACCATATAAATTTGTGCAAAAACCGTAGTTTCATTTTCTGTGAAGCTATACACCTTAATTAAAATGTTAAATTGAGAATAGATACGAAGTTCACAACATTGCCACTGGTCTGGTTTTTTTGTGTATTATACACACATACTTTTTATATACTTAGTATATACTAGTAATATACTAGAGGATCTTCCTCCACTCCTACCCATGATTCATAGCTTACATAACTGTAGGTTTTTAAAAACTTGTTCTTTTAACTCGTATTGGGGACTTTGCTTTCCAGGGAAGACGTGCCCCCTCCAAAGAGCCGAACATCCACTGCCAGGAGCTACATAGGCAGCAATCATTCATCCCTGGGATCCATGTCTCCTTCCAACATGGAAGGCTATTCCAAGACTCAGTATAACCAAGTACCAAGTGAAGACTTTGAACATGCTCCTCAGAGCCCGACTCTCCCGCCCACTAAGGTAGCTGCCCCTAATCTCAGTAGAATGGGAGCGGTGCCTGTGATGATCCCAGCCCAGAGCAAGGACGGGTCCATAGTATAGAGCCTCAGTACCTTCACCTGTGCTCTCCATGCTTCTTCTCTTGAAATAATGAACACCTATTCTCTTCTAAATTTTGTTACCATCCTCAAAAGGTACCAAAAAGAAGTTAATCAGAAACCATAAGATGTTTACTTCAAAAACTTTTGTTTGGTTATATTGAAATAGTAAGGCATTAAAGTTACTAAAGGTAAATACACTGTCCAAAAAAGATGGATTTTCTGTAAGAGGTTGATTTTATAAGTTTCTAAATATTAATACCTAAGTAAGATGTAGCACTTTGAATTTGAAACCGTAGCTGAAGAAATTGGTGAACTTACATGCACACCAAGTTGATACTTGAATCATCTGAAAGTGGTACTTTCTAACTTCTACCATTCATTTCTGGATGCTTTCTCACTTAATTTACAGTCCATTAGTCTCCACCAAATTGGTAAAGAAATGTTCATGGCAAAAATACTTACATACATATATGTTTGTTCTTGAATTTATAGCTTCTGTTAAAACTCTAAATGTGTTTAGAATATTTTTAATAACATGGAAAACATCAACATGTTTTAGAAGTTACTAGTTTTTCTTCTGAGTCATGTAATCATTCATAAGCCTTGTCTATAAAATGATTTCTTCAATATTTAACCCTGATAGACTGCTGCAGGGCCAGGGATATAGTACGCTCTTTTATATGCTAAAGTCAAGGAGCATCTATCAGGTTCATTAGAAATGAACGAATGTCAGCAGCACACAGAGGTGACACCAGTGGTGCAATAGTAGGGATGGATTTTGTTGGTGAGTGATCCAAGGCTTCCAGGCTGATGGCCGTGTTCATGGCGGTGACTAGCCAGATCAAAGACTAGGATTTTGTAGCATCTTCTATTCACTGAACTCATGGACCTAGGCTGTTTAAAGAAGAACGGCTGTTCCTAGCTAAACACTAGCTCTCCACATTAGGTGATATTTTTCTAATAAGAAAAAATTATAACTCATTTATTACTTGGTAGTTACAGATTGGAATTCCCTAATTATTGGTTCCAAATTTTAAAATTTCCCTCGTTCATTTTTTTTAAATGTTGCATATTTTATGTGTAAGAAACATTATATAATCCTTACGCTCTTGAACGCAGTTCCTGCAGGATAGTTTCCTCATAGACTCAGAATGATCAAATACATTTTAAGAGAGTAAGTCTCCTCCATCAGTTCTGTATTTCAGACTTGGGAGGATGTACAGTTGCTATTGTATGGCCAACATATCTTTGTGTAGTTCCAGAAGATCAAGTTGAGCTTTGAAAAAGTTTGAGTCGTAGTTTTGTGAAAGTGATTTATCCTTTAAAAAGAAAGAAAGAAAAAAAAAAGGACTATAAGAATTACTTCTGCCTGCCAAATGTGTTAAATATTGTTTTAGTAGAAGAAAGTGAATCCATTGTATTTCCCTTAAAGATTGTGAGGGAGTGTGGATATACTGGAATGAGCCAACAGTTTCTCTGTAGTAAATAAGGTCTGCAATAAATTATTTCATTAGCTGTAAAACCTTTTCCCTAGATTTTAGTAGGGAGTTGGTTTCTGTTAACCTCTTTGAGTGCTGTGGTGGTAAATGCAACATTATAAATTAATGTTGGCATGAATTTATGATTAAGCAGAATATTGTGTACACTTTTTAATGGTAACTTAAGCTGAATGTGTGTAATGGATTAGTGTATAGTTTTACATGTTTGGAAGTATTTTTCAAATAGGTTTTTAACCTTACATACAATTGCTTTTAAACTTGTGTTAACGTTTTTCATCTGTGCCTTTTGGGTAATGTAATTTTTATTATGAATTTCTGGTGCCTATGAGCTAGCTATCACCTGAAAGGTGCTTAGAGCTGAAGGTACTGTTTCTAAAAATGCATCACTGTGACACCTTTCTATCCTCACACTTAACTGAATCTTGCCTCTTCTTCTGTATTCTTTTTGGATGCAATTACATGATTGTGTTGTTCATAGAGATTTCAAAATGTCAGTACCCCCAGCATTCTTTGACTATGTTCATGGCTTCTGATTTTATAACAGTAACTATTTTTAAATGCCAGCTGCCTGGACTTTTTTATATGAATACCATGTATTTATAAGATACTATAAGAATAAATAAGTAGTAGACAACAACCTTTAATAATCGTAAAGTTGGTCCTTTCTATTCCTGATTGTCATATGCTAAAGATTATACCATCACTATAAGTAGAAATTGGAGCCCTGGTAGAGCAGTGGTTAAGAGCTCAGCTGCTAACCAAAAGGTCTGTAGTTTGAATCCATGAGCCACTCCTTGGAAACCTTATAGGCAGTTCTACTCTGTCCTATAGGGTTGCTGTGAGTCGGAATCGACCCGATGGCAACAGGTTTGGTTTATAAGTGGAAATTACTCTAAAAGGTGGACATCTGTGAGAACTTTCTTTCCCTTATCCTTCCTGTTTATCTAGAATTTGGCTCTAAGCAAATCAGAATCTCTTCCAGAAAGGCTTTCTGTGTAGATCCATGCCAACTACAGTCTGAGGAACGAGCTAGTACCCTGAAGAGACCTATTGCGTGTGATTAAGCTGAGAGGACAGAACTGAGTTTTAGACGTGTGTCTCTAGACACTCTCCTTGTAAATTTTAGTTGATCCAAAGGCCAGGTAGTATCACTGATAACTTCCCAAATAATTCTCACTGATAATTTCAGCTAATCAGATATTTGTTATAGAATAATTATTAGTTATCGTCAGTAGTATAATAACAAGAAAAAAATGTTATACAAGCATTTCCATTAGAGAGCCAAACATCAGTCAAGGACGGCACTGCATCTTCAAGGCAAAGTTGTTCAACACCCCTGTACACCTAAGGGACCCCAAACCATTTTAAGTTACATGGAGTAAAAGTAACTATGAAAACAAATGATACCATGGAGTATGTGAGTCTGCGTCTTGAATGTGGAGTAGCTTACAGGTTTTTTTTTTTTTTCCTTCTTAACAATCTTACTAACTTTCCCCAGTTAGAAAGCGAAAAGGGAAAAGAAAAAATTCTTATTGATCACACTGACCAATTATTCTGGAAAAACAACTGTTTTTAAGTTTCACTGTCTGCCATGGCATTTTTATAATGGAAATACAGCCTGAGTGTGTCTTGGGGGATGTTAATTGAAGAGACTCAAACTATTATTCATATAGATTATGGATATAAGAAATATCTGACTTTTAATTATTTGCCTCAATTTATATGTTGCTTTTACCATTTCTCAAGTTAACAAATGTTTAATTGAAGATTGAGTCCTAGAAATTTAGAGTATTAGTTCAAGGGGCAAGGAAAACATGTTGATTAAATATAAAAAGAGCCGATTGCATGAAGTTGGATATGGAATTCTGTAATGTATGGCTTCTTCAAAGAACTACTCTTAGTGTCTTGTGTGTGTGTAGCATGTATATTTGAAGTTACATGAATGTTAAAAGTTGTTTCCTAATTACTTTTTAATCTCAACAGTGTTTAGGGCTCTCGGATGCCTTATTCCAGGGTGAACAGAAAAAGTCCTTATTTTATGTGGTTAATGCTTTGATGTGTCACATGAGGAGTAGTTTGTAGAAAATATTGGCACAATTTTAACTTTTTTAGTGGCTTGTGACATTATCTGTATAATATGTACATGTATATATATCTATCACATTTCTGTGTTTAGTAGTATGAATATTCTGGGCAAGTTTTAATATTTCAAATACCTTTGGATACTCTTGCGATAAAGGCAACATGTTCTGCAATAGAATTTCTTACCTGTTTGCCTATTTTGACACTAAATTTTAGTCCATAACTGAGCACAACTTCCGTTTTTAAATGTTACAGAAGCAGGGAAGAAAAACAAATTTGTGAATTGTGGTTCTGTTTATGCATCTTTAAGCAAGACTCATGGTTTATTTTGTGGACGGTAACACCAGCAAATATTTGCTTTATCTGGCCTCTTATTAATTAAAATCGAGTTTTCCAAAACCCTGTTTTTATCATTTAAAAGTGTGGTGGATATAAGTTGGGTTTGATTTTGGTCATGGACATTAAAAGCTCCACTCAATGAAGAACCTTGGGTTTTCTGTTAATTTATTTAATGACGCAAGTGTTAAGAGAACCACAATTCACTGATTCACTTATTCTTGTCCCTAACTGTGAATTTTAGTGATAAATACACTTGTACTGCTGAGAAAAGAATATTTTGACATGTCACATATGCAAAGTAGAGAATTGGTAGTGTCAGTTTCAAAATAATTTTGTATTTAAAATTTCTGGCTTCAAGTACTCAATGGTGCAGATTTTGAAATTTGTAAGAACAAAATTTGTCTAAAAAAAAACAAAAACTTGCTCTAGTTTTGTGACCTTGTGTACTTTTGAAATAAAATCAAGAAAGCAGTTTTCTGCCTCGCAACTTCGAGTGTGGTGTGGCTTCATTGTGCCTTTTTTAAATGTTTACTAAAGTTTGAATATGCAATTCTTCCCTGCTCTCCTGAGTCAGGGTTTCCTCCCACCTCCCCTTGCATCCTCTAATAAACAGAATAAAAAGCACAACAATCAGACACATCAGTGAAAACATACCAAACATACATGCATACATTCACACACAAACACACACACACACAAAACCAGCCCAAACCCACTGCCATCGAGTTGATTCTGACTAATAGTGACTCTATAGGACAGAGTAGAGCTACCCCATAGGGTTCCGTAGGCTGTGAATCTTCACAGAAGCACACTGCCACATCTTTCTGCCTTGGAGTGGCCGGTGGATTTGAACTGCAGACCTTTTGGTTTGCAGGTGAGTGCTTTAACCACTGCACCAGCAGGGCTCCTTGAGAGCGAGCGAGAGATATATATTTCCCCACTCTGCATTTATATAACAGGATATATTTTATTATTTGGGGCTGAAACCCTCAAAGTTCTGTGATTATTTCGGAATTTACAGTGTGAACTCAAGATTTTCAGATGCATACATGTATGTATTAAGTATGTATACATCTGCTTATGGCGTAAAGCTATTTTCATTGACTTCTAAATGTTATTTCAGGCGTTACGGGATTGAATTGTGTCCCCCCGGAGTCTGTGTTGCAGTTGTTTACCCCTGTACTTGGGGCTGTAATCCCGTTTGGGAATGGGGTTTTCCTTATTAGTGAATGAAGCCGCATCAGCGGAGGGTGTGTCTCGAACCAGGCGCCTCTGAGATGTAAACCAAGCTGAGCAGGCAGAGAGCAGGAAGC